CCCAAGGACAGGCTGCAAAATCGGGTATATATCCTTTACCCTGGATTATGAGCTATAGTACAGAATTTTTAATTGCCAGAGGGGTACTGGGATTTTTTTTTTCCCCCCTGAAAACAGAGCAGTAGGCCAAATAAGTGTGGGAACCCATGCTTCGGTGATCCGGGAAACATCTTGCTGCTTGAAACGATTGTCCACCCTGGAGAAACATTTTTTTTACCCCCCTGACTTAAATTCTTGAGTCATGAAGCCACAACAGAGTGCAGCCTAAGACACCTCCAACAGGTCTTACGTCCTGTCCTGGTCACCTTCTTTGATGTGCTCGTGCTCGGCTGCTTTCTCTCAGGTGCGTCTCTGTTTCTAGCGACATATGTCGACAAGTAGATACGTGCTCTCGGAGTGTTCTTATTGCATTCTGACCCTGACCCGAGAGGCGAATCCTTCCCCTAGGGAGAATGCATTGATGGAAAGCATTTACTTGGACTATTTTTCTCCTTTTGGCTCTCTATCCAGTATGAGACAGGGCTCTGCAGAAAATTATATAAGGCTCTGGAAAGCAGCAGAGGCGCATAAATTTTCTGGGCATGCAGCCGCTTCCTTCTGAATCACACGCTGCCCTGAACCCAGGGCGCCTAAGGTGTAAAACCAGTATTTCTGTGGGACCAGCTTCTCCTCTGCTCATCAGGGCCCCTGGCCTCTCTGTAGGAGTTGCATCAGACTGAATGCTCATTCTAGAAAGACTGGTTCAAGGAAGATACCAGGACCAATCATCTCTCTGGCTTCTGGCTTCCTCATCACCTACTGGAGCAGCCAGGCACCGGGCAGTTGTTCGGTACATGTTGTGAAGTTGCGGAGTGCTGGGCTCCTTCTAGTGCTCGCAACCTCCATCTGCACTTCCTTTTCTTGCCTCCAGTTTCCTTGCAGAGGAAGGGGCAGACCTTCTGGAAAGCCTTGGCTTCCTCCCCTGCTGTCAGCTTTGTCCCATGACAAACCCTGGTATTAGGGTTGCTTGGGGGGGTGGGGGGAGTTCTGCCCACTCATTCACTCGCTGCTCACCGCCATCGAGTCAATACTGACCCATCGGGACCCTATCGGACAAGGTAGAACTGCCCCAGTAGGTTTCCCAGATGGTCAGTTACAGGGAGTGGGAAGCCCTGCCTTTCCTGGGAGGAGTGGCTGGTGGTTCCCAACTGCCAGCCCTGTGGGTCACAGCCCAACACCTAACCACTACGCCTCCAGGGCTCCAGTGCTGGCAACAGGGTTGTGTACATTGCACATATCCTTGTTGGTTTCCTGCACGTCAGCTCCCTGGGGAGCACTCCCAGGAAGTAGAATTGTGCGCTGGGTGTCAGGTGCCTCTTGTACCCTGATCCCATACAAGCTTCAAAACGAATTTTGTTTAATATAAAATAAGAAGCTACAGAGAGGTCAGGTCATCTGGCCAAGGCCACACAGCCAGTTGGTGATAGAGCCAGA